TGATCACTATAAAGTTATTTTTCACTGTCATTAATCATTCTCTTATGGGGAGTTACTTTGTGACTATAAATACCCTTTTTCTGCTTTACTAGATTTAGTATCTATTGGCGATTTTTGCCTGAAACAGTTATTACTATGGTGGTTACCAAATGTAACCTTCGAATTCCATTATTCCTTCTACATTTATTAGTTGGAGTTCACTTGTGAAGTTTATAGTGTGACAAGGGAATGGAGCATGAGATGAGCTCTCTAGGTGAAGGAGCAGGGCTCTGGCTCAGGGTGGCACAGGTAATTTCTGTGAAGAGTTCAACTTCCATAGTCTGAGAGCTATGTGAAAGGGTACAGAGCAAAGTAGAATGCCTCTTTCTTCCTGTTGGGTTGACCCTTTTACATTATAAAATGTTCTTATTTATCTCTATTAACATTTTTTATTTCAAAGTCTGTTTTGTCTGATATTAGTGCAGCCACTCTAGCTTTCTTGTATGTGCTGTTTGGACGATAAATCTTTTTTCATTCTTTTACTTTCCATCTATTTGTATCTTTGAATCTAAAATATTTCTCTTATAGACAAAGTATAGTTGGATTTTATTTTTTATCCAGCTAAGCCTGTATCTCCAGTGAGTCTACCAATCTCCTATCAATTGCTTTTGACCACCTCCACTGTTTTTGAGAGCACTGGTAGGCATGAACTTCTCTGCACACTGTTGCAAATGAAGTTCCTTTGTGACCAAAAATTGGAGCTTATCTTTTTTGTAATTGTGGTAAAATATAGATAACAAGTTAGTTTTAACCATTTTTTAAATTAATTTTTAAATTCGTCGGGTAACATTGGTTGATAATATAAGAGTTTTGGGTGTACAACTTTATAATACAACATCTGTGTACTCTGTTGTATGCTCACCACCCAGTACTCTATAATATGCTCTCTTTCCTTGACCTTACCTTCTTTGCCCTCCCCATACCCCTTTACCTTCTGTTAACCACCATTCTGTCTATGAGTTTGAGGGGTTTTTTTTGCTTGTTTTTTTGTTCATTTGCTTTTTTTTGGTTTTATGTCCCACATAGAGTGAAATTATACGATTCCTGTCCTTTTTGTCTGTCTTACTTCACTTGGCATAATACTGTCCAGATCCATCCATGTTGTCACAAATGATGGTGTTTCATCTTTTTTATGGCTGAGTGGTATAACCATTTTTAAATGTCTAGTTTAGTGGCATTATGTACATTCACGTTGTTGTGCTACTACCTATCATTGTGCTACTTCTATTAAGTTAAAACATTTCCCAAAAAGGAAGCCCTGTACCTATTAAGCAGTTACTTCCTGTTCCAACTACCCTCCAACCCCTGGCATCTACCATGCTACTTTCTGTCGATGAATTTGACCACATACCTCAGATAAGTAGAGTTGTACAACAGTTGTCCTTTTGTGTCTGGTTTATTTCACTTAGCTTGTCTTTGAGGTTCATCTATGTTGTAGCATGTATCAGAACTTTTTTTATTTTTAAGGCTAAATAATATTTCACTATATGAATGTACCACATTGTTTATCCATTCATTTGTTGATGTTTCTTTTTTTCACCTTTTGGCTTTTGTAAATACTGCTATGAACATTGGTATACAAATATCTGTTCAAATCCCTACTTTCAGTTATTTTGGGTATACAGAAGCGGAATTGCTGGATCATATCGTAATTCTATGTTTAATTTTTTTGAAGACCTGCTATACTATTTTCGATAGCAGCTGCAGCATTTTACAATGCAATGCACAAGAGTTCCAGTTTCTCCGCATTTTTGCCAACATGTTATTTTCTGGAAGTTTCTGTTTGTTTGTTTTTGATAGTAGCCATCTTAGTGGGGGGTGAAGAGGTAGCTCATTTTAATGACTAGTGATATTGAGCATCTTTTTATGTATCTTTTGGCCAAATGTATAATTTCTTTGGGGAACTGTCTATTGAAGTCTTGTCTGTTTTTGAATTAGGTTGTATTTGTTTTTGTTGTTGTAGGAGTTCTTATGAATTTTGGATATTAACCCCTTATCACATATATGAGATGCAAATAATTTTTTTCCCAATTTTGTGGATTGTCTTTTCAATCTCTGATAGCATCCTTTGCACAAAAGTTTTTAATTTTCACGAAGTCTTTTTTGTCTATTTTTTTTCTTATGCTGCCTGTGCTTTTGGTGTCACCATTAAGAAATCATTGCTAAACTGAAGGTCATGAAGATCTTTTTCCTGTTTTTCTCCTAAGAGTTCTGTACTTTTAGCTCTTAAACTTAGGTCTTTGACCCATTTTGAGTTAATTTTTGTATATCACGTAAGGTAACAGTACAGCTTCATTCTTTTGCATCTGGATATTCAGTTTTTTCAGAATTATTTGTTGAAAAGACTGTCTTTTCCCCATTGAATGGTTCGAACCACCTTGTTAAAAATCAGTTGCCCATATATGTGAGGCTGGCTTTCTGGGCTCTTTTCTTTTCCATTGGTTTTTATGTCTATCATTATGCCAGTACTACACTGTTTTGATGACTGGAGCTTTGTAATATGTTTTGAAATTGGGAAGCCACACTTAATTTTTGATTTATGTGTGTCTTTAAATTTACAATAATTTTTCCTCCTCCTATGCTGTTTTTTTCTTCTCATTTATTTGTTGAAGAAACTGTCATTTGTTATGTAGAATTTACCACATTCTGGATTTAACCGATTTGTAACTCCACGGTATCACTTAATATATTCTTCTATCTTATGTATCTTTAAATTAGTAGATTTGTAAACTTGATTAAATCCAGGCTCTGATTGCATCCTATTAGGAGACACTTTTTTTTAGTTAGGGAAATTTAAAAAGCAGACAGAATGATATAATTAACCCCTCTACACCTGTCACCTAGCTTCAACAGTTAAGAACTCAACTTTATTTATAACCTCATTTATTTCCTCCTTCCCGTATTATTTTGAAGCAATATAAACTCTTACTTTTCTAAGTTTTATATGTTAATTTGTGCTTACCATAGTGTCTGGCATTTTGAATCACAGTTTTAACCTCATATTTTAGTAACTATTGAAAGCTCAGAATCCTAGATATTGTTTTGTTAATAAATCTGATTCATCTAATCATATTTAGGACTAGACATGATCTTGGCTTTTCTTGAGATTCAGTTTTTGTTACTATGAAATATTAGGATGCTTTGTTTCAAAATACTAAAAAAAGAGAAGCATAATCAGAGTGGATCCAAAAAGGAAAAAAAAAAAAAAAAACTAATGAATTTAGGCTTTTATCAGTTTTAGAGAATGTTGCTATGATAGTCTAACATTCCCTGGGGGGCCAACCACCTGGTAGATCAGTGGAAATGAGTGATTTCTACACTCTGTACCACTTTATCCCACTGTCCCCCCCCCCACCAATTTAACTATTTTTCTACTAACTAAATTAGATTATTAAAACACTCTTTATTAGTCAAAGACATAAATATACAATTAAAAAGTATGGCTTCTATAATGGAGTTTTATGTTTTAAACTCTTCAATAGCTTTGTGGGGATGCCATATGAGTTTAAGAGCACTTAATTGGTTGTATTTGTTTAAGTCTTTTAACTGTCATTTTAGCAACCACTAGATAATTCTCGCAAGCAAGGTTAGCCATTTTTTAGCCTTAGGCTACAGAAAACAAACAAATAGAAAAAGCTAATAAATTCACATGATGTTTCAAAAACATAGAAATTCAATTAGGCTTAATTGTGGTGTTAGTTTATTCCTCGTGATGCAATTTCAGAGAGGCAGCATGACCTAGAAATGAAAAGTCTGGACTTTGGATCACTTGGTTCAAATACCAGTTCTCTGCTGCTCATTAGTGAGATGATTTTGGTCAAGATCTTTAACTGCTAAGGTTCAGTTTCCTCACCTGTAGAGTAGGGGGCAAGAGGTTTGGCATTGTGCTTTCCATAGTGTCTAGTTTGTGGTAAGTTCTGTAAATGATAAATTATTGGTCATAATCCTTAGACTTCAGGTATTTCTCTGTGCTGTGTGTGAGACAGAGTTACAAAATCAGAATGTTAGAAATAGAAGGAATTTCAGAGATGATTTAGTTCAAGACATTATTTTCTAGATGAAAGAAAGTGACAGAGTTGGAGACCAAACTGGCCTTGGCCTCAGATCATTGCTACTTTACTGGGAATTGACACCATTCATACTGTTAAATTTTTTGGATCTGAATTGTGCTTCTCTTTGTATTAAGTTTGTGGCTTAATTTGAGAGTTGTGATTATTTTATTAAAATGAGATTCCAGTCCTGTTATTCCAGGGTAACTAATTTTTATGAGGGTTATAACATTTCACTTTATTACTGTTTTTATCATAAAAGGCCTAATCTTTTCCAGTGAAACAAGCCTTAGGGTGTATTATGTTCTATAATTAAATTAACTTGACAGCCAACTTTGGTATACTGCAATATTTCAGAGGGAGGGGTTGGCAGGGAAAGGCACTGGTGGTATAGATTCTGACAAAGGCACTTATGATTTAGATGTGAAAGAGCTTTGAATGATTTAACTTTCAAATGTTTTTCTGCAGTTGTAAACACAGTACCTATTTTTAGAGGTGTGGGAAAAATATGGGAGGTGACTTGATGTCAGTCAAATCAGGAATACAATTTACATTTTGTACCTTAGTAGCTTTTCATAACAGTGATTGGTTACTTTTGGAATGAAAATTATTATGTTTAGTATTGCTTATTTCTTCCAGCAGGCTATTTTTATTTTTATTTCTTTTATTTGATTTTTATTATTTTCACATTCTTTTCTTCGTCCTCCCTTCCATGACCGATCCCTGTTCTGGGCTCTTGGAGCAGCAAAGCACAGAGCCTTACTTTAGGTAGTTTTTATGCTTAGCATTAGATGAGCCCAGCCCACAGATTATCTGTGCTTTATTTAAATGGAATTAGATGTTTTAAATTTGAAAATATTTTAGCTTGTTTAGCCTGTCGAATTTAATAAACACAGTGTTTAATCTTTTCAGAGGTCGAAACAATAGCAAAGGACTGCCTCAGTCTACGGTGAGTAACTTGAATATTATTTGTTTGGAAAAATCGGTAACTAAAATGTGATTTTTAAACCATAGACCAGAAGCCAAGGGAAAAAATTTCTTTTGAATTTTATATCTCAGATATCTTTTGTAGGTTAGTACTGTTTGGTATAAACTTATTAGCTATGTGTGTTGTATTCGACGGTGACTATAAATTAATCTATAAATATTTGTCATGCATAAATAATAACTCATTTGTTCTTTTATAAATGGCTAAAGACAGATCTAAGTGAGTGTCTCCTAGAAGATAAGTGGAACACCAGAAGTGGAGTTTGCAGAGCTTTTTGGGTTTTTGATTTTGAATTAATATGCTTTTATTTCATTTTTCTCCCTTGGAAAGGGGCTTTTGGTTTTAAATTTCAGAACTTTATCAGTGAAATTAAACTGGGCATGAAAGGGAAAAGGTGTAAATTCCACGTTATGGAAGAAATAAATGAGCTATCACTAATTATTAAGACTTTATTAGACAGATTTTTTTCTTTAGAATCAGGAGGACACACACTTATGTAGTATGTAACATGGAGTTGTGTGGCTGAATAATCCTTAGAGCACTGTCATTGATTCATATATGCTGAGAGAAGGTAGTCAAGGGTCTTCTACAAAGGTGCCCCCACTCCATCCCATTTATCTATCTATTAAGGTATACTTAACCCTGTTCAGTGTATAGGTCTGTGAGTTTTGATGCATACAGTTGTGCAACCACCATCACAATCAAGGTAATAGAACAGATCCATCACTTCCAAAAGTCCCTCATGCCACTTTGTAGTGAACCTTACTCCCCAACGATCGATCTGTTTTCTGCTCTTACGGTTTTGTTTTTAGTCATAATGCAAATTCACTTTTGCTTTTTTGTATCATGTATAGTTAAAACACTGTTAGTTGGTATGACTGATTTCACTTTTGAAAATTTAAGCTTCTATTCTCTAAGGAAGCAAAAGAGTGTAGTAAAGCAAATCTTCCTTTAATGCATGTAAGGTATTACAAACCTAACTAAACATTTTGTAATAAAATAAATGTTAACTTGAATGTATATACAAGGATAAATTCTGATTGCTAATGTTTTCTCTTAATATTCCAGATTTCTTTCGATGGGATCTATGCAAATATGAGGATGGTTCATATACTTACATCAGTTGTTGTAAGTTATCAGATTATTGGGGAGCAATTGCCTTGGGAGTGAAATAATTTCATAAAGTTAAAATGTAGATGAATGATTTTCTGTGTAACTTTTCTTAGGTCATGTTTAATTACGATAATTTAGAAAAAAGGGAAAGAACTCTACCCACGTTACTGTAACTCACTATGAAAACATTCTTGTTAACTCTGCAAAATAATATTAGTAATTGTCTTTAGTGCATTCTTTTGTCACCTAATAAAACTGGAGTTGGAGTCAGAAATACCTCAGTATTTAAGTTGAAACTGAGCAGGGTCTCCTGAAGAATTTTGAAAATTCATTGTATCATTGATACATTTTAAATCTTTCTATTGTTCTGTCAGTAAATATGCAATATGTTGAATGAAGCTTGATAAAAAGCTATAAAAAGTAATTTGAAAACAATTTTTTAAAATTTTATTATTAGTTTCAAGTATACAGTATATTGGTTAGACATTTACATAGTTTATAGAATGATCCCCCTATATAGCATATTATTTTTTTGATAAATTATTTGTATGTTTTTAGGGATCCAAATGTGAAGTACAAGTGAAAAACGGAGGTATATATGAAGGAGTTTTTAAAACGTATAGTCCTAAGGTAATTTTTACTCTTTTCCTTTTTGTTAAATGTGAAACCCCATGAATCATCAACTACTTTATAGGTGTATGGCTTCCAGAAAGCATTTATTAGTTTCTGATTTAACAATTTTAGTTATGAGGTGAGTATGTTTGTCCCATTTTCATGCTCAGTGCTTCACCTTTAAAGTACTTTTTAAAACCACTTTGAATGATTTTGCTCTTCAGTTTCAAATACTGATTATTTTATAGATGGTTTGTATAATCTAAAAGACTTATTGTTCTCTGTGCCTATTAAAATATTTCGGCCTTTTCATGCGTTGTGGACTACAAGGTGGGGGATGGTCCATTGTTTTCTTCTTTATCACTATTAATGTGTTTAAGACAGACCGTAGTAGCAAGGACCAACTTTTAGATGAGAGGATTTATGAATGATGGATAACAGATTGTATTTCTGAGAGAAAGATGATTATAAGGTTCTTGTGAGATAGATTAATTTTGTCAAAGGCATATAAGGGATAGTACCTTGGTGCACTGAACAGTTCCTGTCTTATTTTATAAATGTTTGAATACTTATTCATGTTTTTTATTTTAGTGTGATTTGGTACTTGATGCTGCACATGAGAAAAGTACAGAATCAAGTTCAGGGCCAAAACGTGAAGAAATAATGGAGAGTATTTTGTTCAAGTGTTCAGACTTCGTTGTGGTACAGTTTAAAGATATGGACTCCAGTTATGCAAGAAGAGGTAAATTTTGGTTTCCTAAATATGCTTCATGGTTTATAAGATTTGTTCACATGGACTCTTCAACATTGATCATGCAGGCGTTTTTTAAATTAAAGAAATATAGGCTTTTCAGAATAACCTAATTAAGACAGATGGGAATTTTAATGCATTTTTGTTGGAAAACATTTAAAATTTCAGTAGAAGATTCCTTAGTACTTTTAGTAAATAGAGACTTGTGTTCTCTTAAAAACAGTTTATAAAGGATTTTCTACAGTTTCATGGTTAAGAATACTACTGATTATACTCAACTGAAAATTTCTTGTCCCATTTGTTATACAGTGATCTAGTTTATAAATTTTTAGTTTTACTATGCTTATAAATAACATTTCTGTTTTTATTATGCTCATAGTTTTATAAATGCTTTAGTTTTATAATCTGAAAATATAATGAAGGGAGAAAGGCAGAGAGTTGTGGGTAGAAAATGATTGTTTAATGAAGATGAAAACGGTAAAGAAGTAAAACACATATTTAAAGAACATTCAGAGTATGGGACTATATTTTGAGAATATAAAAGTGGTGATGTAGTTATATTAAAATTTAGTATGTTTCAAGTGTCCATTGAGGAAAATATAGGAATTGCTGTTAATCATTTGGAGAGCATAGTCTGCAGTACTGAGTGTTCAATAACGTATTGAAAGACTCTTCTGGGCCATTTTGAACTTGATTCTAAAATTCTTAAGTTGATTTTTTTGGAGACAGATCAAATTTTATAGTCAATTCTATTGCAAATTGTAACTCAACAATTTTTAATATTCATGATTCAGTATATGCCAGCACCTGTTTTTGTTATGCTGATTTTTCTACACTGTTACTTATACATTACAAGCCACCCAAAAGTTAAAACCTTTCTCTTGGACCTCTTAACAAGATTCTTAGCTATAGTTAGCTTGCCTTCTCAGAAGCTAGCAGTGCTAGGTACTTTGTAACTGCTTTGCAGTGCTGATAAAAGGACTGTGTTCTGTTCCTGTATCTTCTCAAGTGTCTGTGATTCACAACTTTTTGTCTAAGAGTCCTTCAGTGGCCCATACAAGGAAACAAGTCTTTTTAGTTGCTGCCTTTAGACTTGATCTTGTTTAGGCCTAGGAGCACAAAATTATTTATATTTATACTTCTGTTGAAGTATTTTACGCTTAAATTTAAAAATTGACTCTAGATCATGAACCAAAGGGAAAATAAAATTTTAGTTTAATTTAATACATAGCACACTGGAAAAAGTATTGGTCATAACAACAAAATATTTCCTCTTGTTTTGGGTGCCGGGCCATTTAACTAACAGCCATTCGCAGTATGCTTTGTTTTTTATTAAGTGAATTGGCATTTCTCAAATTTGGAACAGTAACTGATCCTCTTTAGAATTAATATCTTTAAACTTTTATTATTTTGTTTATTATTTTATTATATCTTTATCAGGTAATTTGTGTTCATTGTAGAAAGCCAAGAAAACACAGATGAGAACAACAGCTTTGACAATGTTCAGTACACTCAATAAGGGAATGGATATGTTTTGTTACATACATAAAAATAGTTTTCTTGATGAGGACATCCAGTAGTGGAGTAATTTCAAGTATTTTATTTAAAGACTGTAGCAGTTTAGTAAATTACACAATTATATCCAGTTCATGGTATCCTGAAAATAGTATTAAGTCATGTGTTTAGGATTTCAGGTCTCTTAAGCCAGACTTTTAACACTGTTTTGGAAGAAGTAGCCCTCTATAAAAGTATTATTATGGAGATGCTATTAGTATAGCGAAAGCTTTTTTAGAGTTATTAATTGGCATGGTTCATTAATTACAAAAATTAAGGAATTTAGTACTGCTTTTATTTTGTATTAAAGACTTACTCAGATTTCTAGTCTCCTTGAATAAAGGAAGATAGGGTTTAATCATTGATTCTTAATACTTATTTTAGTATTAAGGTTCTTATTTTAGTCACCCATGCAGTTTCTAAAAATGTTTAGTTCTCATTTCTTGAGATTCTGATCCTGAAAGAGGCTCTGGGCCTGTGAGTCTGATGTGCAGTCAGGGGTGTGAACCGCTAGTTTTCATCGAACGTCCTCGGAATGGCTCTGTTCTGTGGGTCTTGAGGATTTAGACTTTATTTCCTTGATTCACAGCACCCTTTCTGTCTCACAACTGGAGATTATCTTGAATAGTCTTTGTTGGTATCAGTTTGATACTACTTTTCTACATCTTAAATGAGCCAGATGGATTGAGGTGTTTTTTTTTTTTAAGGATTAATAGATGTGAGTGACTGAGAAGAGGGAAATTTGATTCCTTTCTGAGCTTTTATCTTATAATTTTCTTTGTAATAGTACTGTAAAATTCTTAAGATAGATAACATTAACTAAAATTTGAGTGCATATTCTGTTTGTCAAGCTCTGTGCTAAGTGTTTTATGTGCGTTGGTTTCATTGAATCATTACAACTTCTTTCTGAGGTGAGTATGATTATTATCTACATGTTGTAGATGAAGAAACTGAGATACAATTAAGTAACTTGGTAAAAGTGAGGACACAAATCCAGCACTCTCTGACTCCAAGTCATGTCTGGTTTGTTGTTTACCTGAGCTATGTCAGAATAAATCTTCATTTACTTTAACGGATGTTCTCAAATAAAGCCAAAAATAAAAACCAGACTTTTCATGTAGTATAAATATGCAGATTTTTATATTCAAGATTCTTTCCTTTTAAAATCTTTGGTTTAATTTTTGGAGAAACTTTTTAAAGTTAGGTCAATGTGGCTTTAAAAAATTTTAATGCTAACTTCTTTGGTTTTAATAAATTTTAAAATTTGTCATATTTATACACATATTCAAGTGAATAAGAGACCTAGAAATAATTGCTGTCTTCTTATGATATGGTGAATAAGTTTCATTTGTTCTCTTGAATGATATACATGTAACAGTTTGATTTATGGGCAAAACGAAAGGTAGCTTTATATTTTTTAAGCTGTGAGTTCCTTTTGAACACATAATTAGATGAAACCATCGGATCGTCCCAGGAAAATTGGTGTTTTATCCTTTATTTGAATTCTATTGCAAACGGATCCAGGATGCTTTCATTTTCCTCTCTTCATTTTGCCATCTGTTTGTTCAGACATTCCGCTGCCTTTGTCTCTTCATCTGACAACCTTGGAGTTGGCATATTATTTTAACTCGCTTTTTCCTTTGTTCCTGTCTCTCTTCTATGCCCCTTTACCTGCTTTTCTCCCTCATCCTCTTTCTGTTCTTCCTTTTGCTCCTTTATTCATGTTTTGCTCTTTTATTTAATACCCCAACTCAACTATATTTTAATTCTGTGGCTTCTCTTCTACTTCCTTATTCCATGCTCCCTCATGCTGCTTCTTTCTACTGCTGTATTTCCTTTTTAGTATTCTCAGTCTGGAGAATGGGTCAGCTAGCTTAAGGCCTGTGGGCCAAATCCACTCAACAGTAAATAAAGTTTTATTGTAACACAGTTATGGCCATTCCTCTAAGCATTGGCTGTGGCTGAAAATGAAAGCATGCTACAGTGATAGATTTTAGTAGTTATAATAGAGACTGGCTTACAAAGCCAAAAAATATTTACTGTCTAGCCCTTTACAGAAAAAGTTTGTCAACTCTAGTCTTAGATCATTTTTCTTACTGCATTTGGACTGTTAGGGCTGGTCAAAAATATATACTTACTGGCTTTGGTGAAATAACACAGCACGTACTTTGCTCAAAACTTATGCTTTGACTGTAATCTAATACAGAGTAATTTCATTTAATTCCTTTTTTGTGATCATTCAAATTGGATTTAGCCTGAAGATACTCTTTTGCTTACCAACTCATTTGTCACAGTAAATGAAAAATCATATTTGATTATTAGGAATGATCTCCATCATCACCTGTCTGCCCCCTTCTCCATCTACAAATTTATCTTCCACTGTGCTATCTTTATTCTCTTTCCTTTGGTTTTTTGTGGAGGGGATGTCTCACTTCCTGTTTAATCTGAATTTCTCCAGTCATGCCCTTGACTCTATTCGTTCTGCTTTTCCTGAGTTCTTGTTCTTTTATATCACCTCCGTTTTCAGACTCTTTAACCTCTTCCTCTCCACTTCTTCCCTTTAGCCTGAAAACTTATTCAAGTTCCTCTCCTAAAAAGGAGGATCCCTTTTTATTCCGAATTCTTCTCATGACTCTCTGTCTTTATTTCTTATCCATATTTCTTAATTCTCATTTTCTAATGACTACTCATCCCATTGTAATCTGCCTTTTATACCCACAACTTGGAAACTCCTGAGGCTAAGTAGCCTCTACTTGCTAGGTCCTTTGGACTCTTTTTCAGTCTTAACTGCTATATTTGACACTGCTGATTTCACCATCCTTCAGAAGCTGCTCTTTGTTTCTTATGTCTTATTGATCATCCTTTTCTTACTTCATTCTTGGGCTTCGTTCCCATCACACTGCCCTTAAATGTGTTTGTGTTCCCGGTGCTTCCTTTGCCCACTGCTCTTAGCACGTATCAGTCACTTATACATTGTTAAAATTTTAGCCACCACATGTAAACCCCCTCCGCAACATGGCTGTATCTAATGCTCTTATACCATGTTGTATTGGAATTTGATATTTCTGTCTCCCCTATTAAACTTTGAGCTCCCTTTGTGTCGATACTGTATTTTTTTAATCCTTAGAGCTTATGTTTTGGCACATAATACAGATACAGTATAAAAGTCTTTTGAATGAACGAAATTAGAGCCTTCACATACTTTTAAAGAACTATTTTATGTAAAGAGTGAAAAAGCTCTAAGTGGTATATAGAGAATGTGTGTGTGTGTGTGTGTATACTTCTGTGTGTGTGTGTATGTGTGTATATGTATATACAATGTATATATTTCTATTTAAACCCAGCCGCTACAGGAGCATTAGATCCCACCATGTCTCTCTAAAGAACTTCAACAATGCTCTTCTCTCTATTCTATATCATATTTCATGATATATGTA